TGTATTTCCATAAACCTAAAAAAACTCCATCAACTTCACCACACTCAATTGTAAGGTTGTTAGATAATATATACATCACAGGTAGCCTGATATCTTTTGGTGACTTGACAATTAAGTCGTTTTTACTGGAAAGAAATGATGCATTAAAACTACTGCAAGAGTACACCATCTATTACAAAACAATAAGTTGCAGGATCAGAATCAATAACAACTGTTAATAGGGATCAGAATCAATAACAACAGGTCAAATAGTTGATTTGGTTCAATGTCTGGAACTTCCATGGTTTGATTGAAAAAAAATAAAATATTAGTGGTTAAACCACAAAACTGATAAAATATTAGTGGTTTGTTGGATCTTAACAGAATGAAAAGGAAGTGCAGGAGAACTCTCGTGATATTATTGATGAACAAAAAGAGAACAGAAGGCATCTATAAATAGTAGAGTTTTACAACTGAAAAGTAAAAGCTGGAAATATGGAAGGACTTAAGTAAATGCAGAAAAATTGAAAGACTTCTAGCAGTTACTAAGCCAGTCACGAGAGTTATTATTTTCCTGAGAAACTTTGAATCAATCTTCAACACTCCCCTTTGATTCAAAGGTACCAACACCAATCTTTGCACAAAGATATTCAAAACGAGCTGCTGGAAGAGCTTTGGTAAACAGGTCTGCTTGTTGTTCTTCAGTTCTACAAAACTTCAGCTTGATGCTTTCATCTACCACTAGCTTTCTTATGAAATGATGCTTAATTTCTATGTGCTTGGTTCGACCATGCATGACAGGATTTTTTGTCATTGCAATCGCGGATTGATTGTCACAGTAGATCATAGTTGCTTCAGTTTGTTCTTGCATGATATCATTCATAAGTTTTCTTAACCAGATTGCTTGACATGTTGTGATTGAGGCTGCCACATACTCAGCCTCTGTTGTGGATAATGCGACGATTTCTTGCTTCTTTGATAACCATGAGATAATTCCAGTTCCCACATTGAAACAATTTCCAGTTGTGCTCCTTCTATCTTCTTATGACCCTGCCCAGTCACTGTCTGTAAAGCCTTCCAACAGTAGTTTCTTTGACTTCATATACCATATTCCATAATGCTTGGTGCAAGCAACATATCGAATGATCCTTTTTTACCGCTCCAAAATGATGTTTTGTAGGTGAATACATGAACCTTGAGACCACACCAACATCATAGCTTATGTCTGGTCTTGTGTGTGTAAGATATATTAGTCTCCCGACTATGCTCCTGTACATCTGGGGTTCTTCCATTCCTGTACCATCAGAACTTACAAGCTTTTCATTAGTATTCATAGGTGTTGCGATGGGTTCTTCATTCACTACATTGAGATCTTTCAGCAAGTCTGTGACATATCTCTCTTGTGCAATAAAAATACCCTTGTTGGTTTGTTTTACTTCGATACCAAGAAAATAATGTAACCTTCCAAGATCAGTCATCTCAAAAGTTCTCATCATTTCCTCTTTGAACTGTTGTATGAGTTTCATTGAGGACCCTGTGTATATCATGTCATCTACATAAAGACTAATCAACATGAAATCTTCTATGCCTTGCTTCTTGTAGTACATAGTGGGCTCATTGGGACTCTTCGTGAAGCCATTTTCCAAGAAGAAACTGTCAATTTTGCTATACCACGAGCGTGGGGCCTGTTTGAGCCCATACAAAGCCTTTCGTAACTTGTATACCTTCTCCTCCTGCCCAATTACTATGAATCCTTCAGGTTGCTAAACAAAGACTTCCTCTTTAAGATCTCCATTCAAGAAAGCCGACTTAACATCAAATTGATAGACTTCCCACTCTCTTTGTGCTGCTAATGCGAGGATCAATCGTATTGTTTCTATCCTTGCCACCGGCGAGAACGTTTCATCATAATCCACACCTTGTTCTTGCGTAAAACCTCGAGCGACTAATCTGGCTTTGTGTTTCTGTAGGCTCCCACCAGCTTTGAACTTAGTTTTGAACACCCATTTTAGTGATATAGGGTACTTATCAGATGGTAGTTCCACGAGTTCCCAAGTATTGTTCTTTTCAATAGCAGCAATCTCTTCCTCCATTGCTTTTCTCCATCTATCATCTTGAAGAGCAACATTCGTTGATATAGGATCACCCGCAAATAGTGCCATTGTGCTTGCATAAATATCTACTAATGTTCTGGTTTTGAGTGGTGTTGTTTCTGGTGATGTGCTGCTAGAAGATGTTGTGTTTGATCTTGGAGGAGTAACTTGTGAAGACACTCCATGCGAGGAACTTGAACTCGAGGATGAGATGTTTGAGGAATTGGTTTGAGTAATTGGTGCTTGATCATGAACTTCTTCTTCGTCAAGTAACTCAGGTTGAACTAACGTATTGACTTGTTCTTGTGTAGTGTCATAACTTACATATTCTTCGAAGACTACATCCCTACTAACAACAATTTTCTTGTTTATGGGATCAAAGAGTCTATAGGCCTTCGATTGAGTACAGTATCCCACAAAAACATATTTCTTGGACTTGTCTTCTAGCTTGTGTCTGTAATATGCGACTAATGCATAACATGCACAGCCAAAAACACGTAAATGAGTGACTGTAGGTTTGAATTCATACCATGCTTCAAACGGTGTTCTGTTCCATACAGCTTTTGTAGGAGATATGTTGATTAGGTATACAACGGTAGCAACGGCTTCAACCTAATAAACATCAGGTAGCTTGCTTGTGTTCAACATTGATCGAGCCATCTCCTCAATGGTTCGATTCTTTCTCTCTGCAATCCCATTCTGCTCTGGGGTATGTGGAGCTGTCATCTCTCTTCTTATCCCTTCTTTTTCACATAGAGTAATGAGTTCTCGTGACATGAATTCTCCCCCTCTATCAGTCCTTAGAGTCTTGATTGTAGTGTTTCCTTGTTTTTCAACAAGAGCTTTGAATTTCTTAAAGTGTTCTAAGGCATCAGATTTTGTTCTAATGAAATATACCCAACACATACGGGTAAAGTCATCAATGAATAGCAAGAAATACTTATTTCCTGAGTGAGATTCGTTCTTCATTGGACCATAAATGTCAGCACACACTAATTCCAATTTCTCAGTTGCTCGTCTTGCCTTGCCCTTTGGAAAAGACCTTCGTGATTGCTTGCCTAGAACACATCCTTCGCATACATGTTTTGAGTCATGTATGGCAGGTAATCCATTTACCATTTGGTTACTTGACAACAACTTTAATCCTTTTTCATGTAGGTGCCCGTATCTGCAATGCCAAAGTTTCGATTCATCAACCCTGCTGTTCATCATCATGTAACCATCTTTATGAGAAAAATCTACAGGAAACATTCTGTTTCCTGTCATCCTTGAATAGAGAACAATTTCACCATTTTTCCTCTTCACCACACACGTATTATCATCAAACTCAACCTTGAGACCGTTTTCTATCAACTGTCCCACACTTATCAGGTTGTGAGCGAGACCTGGAGCAAAGTGAACATCATTGATGAGTTTATCTTTCCCTTCTATGCTTATAGTGACAGTTCCCGTTCCTTCTATGTTTACAACTTTATCATCACCAAGTTTAACACGTGATTTTTCTGATTCATCCAAATTCTTGAAATTTCACGTGCACCTGTTATATGATTTGAACATGCGCTGTCTATGTACCATATCTCCTTCTTTCGGCTAGCTTGGTTTGCGTAGGTCATGAATAGACATTCATCTTGTTCAACATATTCTTCTTCTGTATATTTTGCTTGACCTTGCTTTGCCCAACAATCTTCTTCCCTATGACCAAGCTTTCCACAGTGGTCACATCGAACGACTGCTCCCCGTGATCTGCCTCGTCCACGGCCTCGAAATGATGATGTTCTTGCTCTTCCTCTACCGCCAGAAAATCTGTTTTACTCCCCTTGGATCTGAAAGGCTTGTTCTTCTTCTTGTGTGTGATTCCTGTTGATTCTTGCCTCATGCGCTTGTAGTGACCCCATTAACTCATCAAAGGTAAAAGTCTTCCAGTCCTTTGATTCTTCGATTGCTGCCACCACGTGATCGAACTTGACTGGTAAACTCCTGAGAACTTTGGCCACCACAATTTCATCAGAAATCTTGTCTCCATAGGCACGCATCTGTGTCACTATGGATGCTGCTTTTGCTAGATATTCTTGTACTGCTTCATTTGGCTTCATGTTTAAAGTCTCGAACTGTCTCCTCAAGGATTGCAATTTGACTGTAATAACTTTGGCTGATCCTTGGTATTCAGTCTTGAGAATATCCCAAGCTTCCTTTGATGTGACTGCTGCAACAATTCTAGGGAAGATGGTCTCATCTATTTCCTGTTGAATAAAGAACAAGGCTTTAGCATCTTTCTTCTGATTATCTTTTTGACGGGCTTCATCTGCACTTGTCTCTGTATAAACTGCTTTAACAAATTCCCATAAGTCTTGTGACTTGAAAAGGGTCTTCATTTTGGTGCTCCAGAATTCATAGGACTCCCCTTTGAAGACAGAAATCTGTGGTTGTGACATGCTAATAGTGTTGCTGCTATTTTGTGCCATTTGAGAGTCACCGATTGAGACTTGGATAAGAGACCAGGCTTTGATACCATAATGTTGGATCTTAACAGAATGAAAAGGAAGTGCAGGAGAACTCTCGTGATATTATTGATGAACAAAAAGAGAACAGAAGGCAGCTATAAATAGTAGAGTTTTACAACTGAAAAGTAAAAGCTGGAAATATGGAAGGACTTAAGTAAATGCAGAAAAATTGAAAGACTTCTAGCAGTTACTAAGCCAATCACGAGAGTTATTATTTTCCTGAGAAACTTTGAATCAATCTTCAACATATTAGTGGTTAAACCACAAAACTGCCGTATATATAATTGTTAATAAAAAATGGCATGCCATTTTCACTTTTTTAATTAATGTTGATGAGAAATACATAAATAAAGAAAAACAAGTGGAAATAGTGATAAAAATTAATGAGAACTTACAGCAACTTCTAGCTAGCAAGGCAGAAAGAAGTTCACGATCCATAAATTCCAATGGCTTCAAACTGTCCCCCTGTGACATAACACATCACATATGCAATTTAATTACTCATATGAATATATAAAAGCTATTGAAGATTTGGATCAATTGAATTTTAATAAAACTAACCATTCGTGTAACAGATTTTTTTGAATTTGGTAGCAAGACGACGTTGCACGTTTCTTATGATTTCCAGCAAGTGGGCCATTTCCTCGAGTTTTTTTGAATTTTCAGTTTCACTACGTTCTTTATCTGCTAAAAGCAAAGGAAGAGAATCTTCCATGTCTGTAATACTTCCATTTTTTATATGCTGCAATGATCCATATCTACGTATCATTTTTGTAGAGAAATGGGTGCGCAATGACAAAAGCCTGAATTATATATATAAACTTAAATGGTATAATAAAATACACAATGCGAAAATATATGATCAAGATGCATAAAAAGAATCATACCTTGATGCAGATGATACATCATTATCATTTCCACCTTTATTCAATGACAAATAAACAGTAGCAAAGACCAATCTCAGGATGAATCCGGTGCCAGTTGCAACCGAAGAATCCGGGAAACCTTCAGGTCCCACCCTACAAATAGATATCAAGATTAAAAATTAACAAGAAAAAACAAATTTTTAATCATATGTTTATCTTAATTCCACATACAATTAAAAAGAAATGGACACACCATGAAATAGAGGGTAGAATTACAGAAATACCCTCTAATGTGACCAAATAAAAACATCCATGAAACACACACCATCATTCGTAATCATAGCCGAGTCTACATGGTAGTTGAAATGGACAACTGTACTATGTTTTTTACTAAGCCTGGTGATTCGAAATGGGGAAAGACATAATATCATATTTTCTATAGCAAGCATGAGTGCCATCAGAATCAATAGCAACTATTGATAAAACTAACAGAGGCGGCGTAATATGTTAAGTGAGAAAGATAGTGTTTTATCGTTTCTAAATAGAAGGGTAAAATGGTCATTACTCAGATTCAGACAGCTGTATGAGAAATATGTACAAAAGGGTAATCTTTAAAGATGTGTTAGGGATGAAAGTGAGGAGGAAAATTAATGTTTGAAAGGATGTTACTTACCTACTGTGATAAACAACACATATTAAGAAAAACTAAAATCATCGATTAAATTAAAACCAAAAAATACATTACATACGTAACTGGATTTACAGAATGTTTTACATCTATCATATTTAAATAACTTTTGATAAACAAAATGAGATTACCTTTCCTCATGGAATCTCTGTTATCCATCATGTTAGCAGGACTAGCAAACAGATCAGAATCACCACCCCTTGAGAAGAAGTTGTTTGCAGGTTGAATGGCTGACCGTTTGACCGACTCATACTCACTTCTCAATTGGTCATACATCTCATCCAGTTTTCTCTTTTGCCTGTTAATAAAAAAAATAAAAACATTGATGAAACTTTAATTTTTCAGGGGACAATGCACAAGTGGCTATTGACCTAGATTTCTCAGAAAAATTTTCTTGGAGTTCTTGTTTATCTTTGGATAAGTTTTGAATTTCTTGTTCCATCATTTGACACCTTTTGCCCATTTTCGGATATGCAGTATGCAACTGCTCCATTTTTTCTGTGAACTTTTCTTGCATTGTTTCATATTTTTCTTTGCACTGAGCTACTATCTTGTTCATTTTAATTGCATTTCGAGTTCCTTTTGTCAATATAGAACATAACACTTCTATATGCACTCTTCATTACTTTATTTGTGTCAAGGAAAGACAAATATATATGGATCACATACATAATACATTAATATGTTTGATTACCGTATTCAAGTAAATAGGATACATATTTATGGAGATATGCCAGCCATAGCCATCTGCAGAGAAGCATGTGAAGGAAGTTAAGATATATGCATACTGGAATGTAAAAGTAATTAATGAAAATCAATTTGGATATTGCAACATTATACTGAAGCAATTTTTTTTATAGAAAACTCTTCCAGATGTGCTTTCTTATATTTACCCATTCTTCATTTGGGTTGATATCCACAGGTTTCATTAGACTAAAATAAAAAACACATACTAAGTTTAAAATCAACTAAAATGTGGCATAGAAGTGATGGGTTTTAGGTAAAACAAATAAAATAGAAAAACAATTCCTAAGTTCACATGCAACCTACTTTGGATCTATGTTTTAACTATTGAACATATAACTTTGAATTGCAAACAAGAACCCTAGAGGAGAGAGGCTAATTTCGAAATTAACAAACTAGGGTTTCATAATTACATACCTTTCAATTGTTATAGCAAACAATTGTTAATCCTCTTGAACTTGATCTTCTTAGAAGCCTAGCACCACAAATGTAATGCCTCTAATGGAATCACACCCAAGAACTAGCAAGAAGGAAACTTGAAGGAGAGAGAGGCTAGGGTATGCAAAATTCGGCCTAGGGTTTTTTCCAAGGTAGGAGTGGCCGAATTAGGAGCTGGGAGGCTCTTTATATAGCTGAGGGATCTAGGGTTTAGGGAAAACCCTAATACTCCTTTGCTTGGGGCCTAAGCTAATCCAAAGGCCTTATCCAAAGCCCCTTGGACGAAATCCTTAGGGTTTCCCCTATAGATTTCGTCCACCTCCTTTCAAGGAGGTTCTGGAGCCTTCCACTCAACTATTAGATAATTGCAAACTAGTCCCTGCACTTTATAATTAATACTTTTAACCCCAAAATTAATTCTGATTAATTTCTGGCTAACTATTAATTAAACATAATGATTTCTAATTAATATATTAATCTTTTAACATATTAATAAATCATTTATATTAATTTATTAATCTTATAAATTAATATCTCTCCTTTCATAATTTCCTTGTCCAGTTGCTAGGTTGAGGGCAACCCAAAAGGACTGTGCTGCTATCAATTCAAGTACATACCAATTATAGTTATGGGCTTAGACACCTAATCCAACAGTCTCCCACTTGGATAAGTCTGTAACTATAATTGCTAGTATGCCTTCTAAATTTGACCAGCAAATTGTAGCTTCCAAAAGCTGCTGCTGAACTCTGACCCAGTCAGTTACATGTCCTGAGATAAGTGATCATATAATCCTTCGTTCTGCAAGATATCCCCAGACATAAGACATGGAATGTAATCAATCTCTTTGTACAGAATCTATGTTTCCCGATTTCTGATTTGTGATGATGTAGGACTTCTAATTGAACACATCAATTTAGTCCTGGCTGGGCCCAGTACATAAGTCAACACCAAATCATCGAGGGGCCCACAGATATCGCTTTTCCGGTTAGGGAAAAAGGAACGAATAAACGTTGACTCATATGCTTGTATCTTTTACTCATCAAATTATACATGACAATACGTTTTATAACACCAAGTTACTGATGCGTTTTCGTATCACCAATGTATAACCGACTTTGTAAATTACAACTCATATATCTTCGTTTCAAGATTATAAGATATTATCGTCTCAGTATTACTCGTGATGAATTCCATGAAGTGATACTCTGAGCGAGGGTTTATCCAATACTCAAATCTTAATTTCTGAGTACTCATGAACATTGCAACAATTCTATTGCCATGTCTATCCTCTGACAATCTGCAATCCAATTCACGACAGTCTTAATTCACTACTTACTTCCAAAAGTACGAGCGACTGTGGAGTTTGAATAATCTTATTATTCGGGAAGTAAAACATGAAAAACTGAAGCACAATAAACAATTGACAAAAGGCAGCAAACAAACTCATAAATAATACTTTATTATTTAATCACCAAAAGTCAATTACATTTACTTTGTTACAAGTTTCAGAACTAGTCTAACTACTAAAACTAATATCATCTTTCAGTCCTATGCTCCGAGCATGCTTAATATGCTTAGCCCTACTCAGACCCTTTGTGAGGGGGTCTGCTGGGTTATCTTCAGATGATACCCTCTTTACTACAAGATGGCCTTCTTCTACTCTATGTCTGATAAAATGGTACTTTCTGTCGATATGTCTGGTTTTACCATGATCTCTCGGTTCCTTTGTTAAGGCAACCGCTCCCTCATTATTGCAGAACAGTTCCATAGGCTCCTGGATGGTTGGAACAACTCCGAGATCTCCGATGAAGTTCCTTAACCAAGCTGCTTCTTTCGACGCTTCACTTGCTGCTATGTACTCTGATTCACAAGTAGAATCAGCCACCGTATCTTGCTTGGAACTTTTCCAAGTAACCGCTCCTCCATTCAGTAAAAATACCCAGCCAGATTGAGAACGGAAGTTATCTCTATCCGTTTGAAAACTGGCATCACTGTAACCATCTACTCTCAAAGTATCATTGCCACCAAGCACAAGGACCCAGTCCTTTGTCCTTCGCAAATACTTGAGTATATTCTTAACCGCTATCCAATGAGCTCTACCCGGGTTTCCCTGATAGCGACTGACCATGCTCAAAGCAAATGCCACATCAGGGCGAGTACATGTCATAGCGTACATGATCGATCCGACAGCGGAAGCATAAGGTACACGACTCATGTCTGCTATTTCCTCATCTGTACTCGGGCATTGAGTCTTACTCAATTTGGTATTGCTTTGGATAGGTAGCTCTCCCTTCTTGGAATTTTCCATACTAAACCTCTTTAGTACCTTATCCAAGTATGTGCTCTGACTAAGTCCAATTAGTCTCTTCTTTCTATCTCTCAATATTCTAATCCCAAGAATATAGGCAGCTTCCAAGCCAAGACTTAACATCTTTCAAGGTTGGAACGTCGTTACCAATGAGTAATATGTCATCGACATATAACACCATAAAAGTTACTATACTCCCACTAGCCTTTATATACACACAAACTCATCTTCACTTCTAGAGAAACCAAACTCTTTGACTTTCTCATGGAAGCAAAGATTCCAGCTGCGAGATGCTTGTTTCAATCCATAAATGGATTTCTCAAGCTTGCACACTCTATTGGGAAACTTTGCATCAACAAAACCCTCTGGCTGATTCATGTAAACATCCTCAGCCAACTTCCCGTTAAGGAAAGCAGTCTTGACATCCATCTGCCAGATTTCATAGTCATGAAAGGCAGCTATGGCGAGCAATATCCTAATAGATTTAATCTTAGCTACTGGCGAAAAGGTCTCATCATAGTCAACCCCTGGGGTTTGAGTGAAACCTTTTGCAACCAGTCGAGCCTTGAATGTGTGCACATTTCCATCCATGTCTGTCTTCTTCTTGAAGATCCATTTGCACCCAACTGTCTTACGACCTGGTGCACTATCAACCAAATTCCAAACTTGGTTGTCATACATGGACTTAATCTCGCTGTCCATTGCCTCTTTCCACTTGGAAGCCTCTGGGCCTGCCATTGCTTCCTTATAAGTGACTGGTTCATCTAAATTTACCAGTGTCCTATCACTGATGAATGTGTCACCATCTGAAGTAATATGAAAACCATACAACTCAGGTGGCACACTCACCCTAGTGGATCTTCGAAGAGGTAATGAGTTATCAACTGGTTCAACAGGAACTGTTTCCTCTGGTTGAGTGCTAGTGTCATCTAAGGTTCCTTCATTGGCTAACTCTTGAATTTCTTCAAGGTCAATGGTGCTCCCACTGTCCTCTTTGAATATGAGCTCTCTTTCTAGAAAGACTCCTCTTCGTGCTACAAAGACCACGTTTTCACTAGGTCTGTAGAACAAATATCCAAAAGACTGCTTTGGGTAACCAATGAAAACACATTTCTCACTTCTAGCTGCTAGCTTGTCGTGAGTCTCTCGTCTTACGAAAGCTTCACAACCCCAGACTTTAATATGTGCTAACGAGGGAACTTTCCCCGTCCACATTTCGTGAGGTGTTTTGGCAACCTTCTTTGTAGGGACAAGATTGAGGATGTGGGCGGCTGTCTCTAAGGCATACCCCCAGAAGTGAATAGGAAGCGAAGCACGACTCATCATAGAACGAACCATGTCTAACAAGGTTCGATTACGCCTCTCAGCTACACACCATTTAACTGTGGTGTCCTAGGAGGAGTTAATTGTGAGACTATCCCACATTCTTTCAGATAGTCGTTGAACTCGATACTAAGATACTCCCCGCCTCTATCGGATCTAAGTACCTTTATCTTTCTGCCCATTGATTTTCGACCTCATGCTTAAACTCTTTGAACTTTCAAAGTTTCTGACTTATGTTTAAGTAGATATATCCATATCTGCTATAATCATCAGTGAAAGTCACATAGAATCGATTAGCATCTCTTGTAGTTGATCTGAAGGGCCCACACACATCTGTGTGTATGAGATCCAACAGACCTTCACCTCTTTCACAAGACCCTGTGAATGGTGATTTTGTCATCTTTCCCAAAGACAAGATTCACACATATCATCTGATTTTAGGTCAAATGATTCCAACACTCCATCCTTTTGGAGTTGGGCTATGCGTTTCTTGTTAATGTGTCCAAGACGACAATGCCACAAGCATGCCTTGTCTACACTATTAGACAAGTCAATATTAATACACTATTTCCTAAGCTATCAACACAAGTCACTGTTTCATATACACACCATCACAAGGCAAAGCTTCAAACAACAAAAACACCATTCTTATAACAGAAATTGAACCATTCAAATCATTAAAAGAATATTTAAAACCTTGTCTG